GAGTTGGCAGTTCGGGCATTCGCTCGCCCAAACGCCGACGGTGTCAAAATTGTATGTGCATGCGCTGTTTCCAGGGCGTGACAACCCTTCTGTAGAAAAGAAGGGCCCAGGGGGGTCCGGTCTTGGCTTCTTAAACGTGACGGGTGAAGGGCCTCGTCATGGTTCATATTGTGCGCAGTCAGAGGCAACGTAAGGTACCGCGAGTGGTGTAGGAGGTGGTTTGGAGGCTTGCCAGAGTAGCCTCCCAGTCAAAGTGGGGAATAACGAGGAGGAGCAGGAGGATGCAGCATGACAGCTGCGGGATGCCGGGGAGAAGGAGGGGCTTGAGGAGGAGGAGGAGGCGGGTGAGAAGAAGGAGGAGGGAAAAGGACCTCGAGAAGGCAGGAGTTGGAGCAAGTGCAGGAAGATCGTAGGCGTGATCCAAGGGACATGGAGCTGCCCCCGTCTCTGCAAGGGATGGACAGAGGTCTGCTCGAAGTGATAGAGAGTTGGCGGCGCCCCCCCCCCCCCCCTCCCCCACCCACCCCACCCTTCCAGTGAATGGTCGATTTCCCTCATAGCGCCTCGTGAATAGAGTGTGGAGGGGGAGGAATGGGGAGAGCGCGCCGCCTTGGGCTGCGCCAAGCTGCTCTATGGTCTGTCGGCGAGCCCGCAGGCTAAAGGTTGCTTTCCAGCGGCACGAGAAGCAGGACGCTCGCATTCGCCGTCCGCCTGCGCTGCCGCCTTTCCCAAACAGGTACGAAGAGCAGAAGCAGGACAGCAGGAGGAGTAGGATGACGACAATACGCTCCTCGAATGCGCGTCAGCGTCTTCGAGCTGGTTTCCGTCCCATGATGAGTCGCGAGTTGGGGAGCCATGGCCCAGCCCGCTGCCCAGCATCACGAGGCCTTCTTGCAGGTGTATCTTCCTTGTGACCTACCTGTTCTTCCTGGATTTGTCGTACGTGCCACTACGCAGTAACTTACATTTGAGGTTCGATCTAGGACGTCTGACGTCGTGGTACCTCCTGCCCTCTTGCATGGAGGCCGCATCTGGTATTCAGGATCGCCCAGAGATCTGCACGGGCCTCTAGAGGTGACCATGATTCCCTCCGAGACAATGCCGCTGACGAGAAGACGACCTCCCCCAACAACGGAGCCTTGTGCGTTGTGGCAGGGATCTCACGTTTGAGGGAGGTCGAGGTGCGAAACGAGGACCTTGGGGTGGCATCTGCTATCTTGCTTGGTCGCCCACGAGGTCATGATAGCCATAGTCGAGAGTTGCACTTTCTCGTCTGCAGCGTTACCACGCCTGAAAGGGATGTGCCGAGCAAAGTGATTATCACGATATTTGATGAGCTACTTGCGCGATGATCATACCATGTGCTTCCAAGTTGGCACCAATGGTCGTCAGGATATGACCTTCACAAAGTAAGGCTAAATGGAGATGTGTCTGCCACACGTTGATTGAATTGAGCGGATAGTCCTCGACATCGCAGTTCGCTCCTCCCTATTCTGCAGAACATTCTGCCTTCGATTTGAAGAACCGCTCGTGTGTGGATGTCGGGCGGGCCCAGGGCCGGGATACATATTTTCAGAGCGCTCGGGAACGCTCTTGGAGCGTGCCGGGACGCTGTGGAAAGGCCGCGGCGCCCGATACATCCTCCCGGCAGGGCCGCTGGATCTCAGAGATCCCCGATTATTCCGTCGCTTCGCTCATTCCGCCGGCGCGTAATGTGCCATCGCAGGCGTTAGTTTGCGCGGTCGTGGCCTCTTGGGGCCTCTTGGGCCGTTTGGGGGCCTCTTGGGGGGTGGGGGCTCCAGGGGGCCTCCTGGGCTCTCTTGTGGGCCTCAGGAGGCCTCCTGGGGCCTCCTGGGGCGGTAGGCTCGAATTGATGCTTCGTGTTCCCCCTCTTGGGCCCCTTTTGGGGCCGTCCCTGGGCCCTCTGCGATCTTTTCAGCGCCTCTGGGGCCAAACTGGAGCCCTCTTGGACCGTCTTGGGGCCCTCTTGGGAGCCTGTCGGGCCGTCTTGGGGCGATCTCGGAGGCCTCTGGCCGTAGACGGGCTAACGGCGACGTAGGTAACAGTAATGTAGGTTTCGGCAGTGTGGGAACGCGTGGCTCGCGCTTTCTTACAATTAGTTTTGTCGTTTTCGCTCGATCCATTCGCAGATTGGACATGTAGAAAGGTGTAGTTCGTTATTTCCGACAGCTTGGTTCTCCACATACATCACGGTTGGCAACATCGCCATTAGGTTGGCCTTGGTCTGGGGCCATCTTGGAGCGTCGGAAGCCCGAAAACGCGTGAATGCGAAAAACATGTGAGAAAGCACAAGGAAAATCAGTGATGCTTGCTTCTTTGGGCCCTATTTGGAGTCCTCTCAAGGCGCTCTGCGGGCTTCTTCGGGCCCTCTTGGGCCGTCTTGGAGCCATCTTGGGCGTCTTCGAGCGCTGTATGGGGCGCTCGAAAGCCTGTGGCTGGCCGCCCGTGGGCTCCAGAGGGCAACACTGAATCTCCCCAACGGTCACACTGTCGATGTGGCGTCTTTCTTCCCAAGCGTCTGTAGCCGTGCGTACTCTTTCAGGTTCTCTCCCCGGTGCCGGAGCAAGCGAACCTGCAGTTTGTCGATGTAAGACGAGGTGCCTCTCGCGGGACGTGGCAGACACGTAGCCGCCATCAGCCCCCTCGACCGAAGTCTCGGGAGCGGGCCACCAGCCAACATACCAACAGGACCGCTGAGTCCACCCAGCCTCGCCCTCGGGGATGGAACCCGTGTCGATACCGAAGTTCGCCGACGGATGAGATGGACAACCCACGTCACACATCGACACGCCCCCCAAGGGCTCGACATGGCATCGCCGAAGGCGACAGCCGCCCGTGGGCGAGCGCAGCATCTCGTACGCCATCCGCCGCCGCAGCCGCGGACTGCGCCCAGGCGCAACACCTGCTACCTCTTTGAGGTTCACGAGGTCTTCGAGCGCTCCTGGGCCGTGATTCCGATTCGTTGACCTTTTTGAAGTTGCCTTGAGGTTCCTTGGGCCGCTCCTGGGGCGATCTGGAGGGCCTCGAAAACCGCCCCCAGGAGTTCTCGCATCGTTGAGCGGGCCTTGCTGGGAGTCGGCCAGGGCCGCCCCGCGCGCGCGAGCTTGAATACACACACACATATATATATATATACATACATACATATATATGACAAGGAGAGAGAGAGAGAGAGAGAGAGAAAAAAAAAAAAAAAAAAAATCAAGCAGTGGCGAAGCGTCCTGGCGTGCCTATAGGCCTACCAAACAATGGTCTAAGAACCTTTCGTGGTTTCCACGAAATGTTCTTAGAACGTTTCTAGCTGGGACTGTTTTGTTTTAGCACATCGGGAATATGTTCTAAGAACATTGTTTTTGTTCTGAGAACATTTGGGGTTCTAAGAATTTCGTGGTAGGCCTACAGGAATTCCGGGACGGTGGGTCCCTGGTCAAAAATCGAGAGAGCGTGATCCACCGCAACTTTATTGTGAAAAAGTTTCCCCCCTATTCCTCCTGAACCCGGGAGTCCCCCCCCCCTTTCCGAAAATCCCCCTTTCTCGAACCCCCCCGCTTCCGCCCCCCCTTCCTTCCCCATAGCAAAACCCCCCCCCTCCCGTCCCTCCCCCTCCGGAAACCATGGGGAGTCACAACCGGTTCGAACCCCCTCCCCCCTCCCTCCAGAAAACCAGGGGGGTCACTCCCCCTCCCCACTCGCCGCCGGCATACGACTCCCGGCTCCCCACCACCGTCCTCACCACCGCCCTCACCACTGTCCCCACCACCACCGTCCCCACCACTGTCCCACTGTCCCCACCAGTGCCACCACCCCGTCGCTCTGTCCTCATTGTCCCCACCACTGTCCCCACCACGGTCCCACTGCCCCCAATGTTCCCACCACCGTCCCACTGTCCACACTGTCCCGACTACTGTCCCACTGTCCCTACTGTCCCCACTGCTGTCCCACTGAGCTGTCCCACTATTCCCACCACTGTCCCACTGTCCCCACCACTGTCCCCACTGCACCACTGTCCCATTGTCCCACCACCGTCCTCATTACCGTCCTCACCACGGTCCCCACCACTGCCGTCCCCACTGTCCCACTGTCCCCACTGTCCCCACCGCTGTCCCCACACCTCTGTCGCCACCACCACCGTCCCCATCGCTGTCCCACTGCCCCCACTTTCCACACCACTGTCCCACTGTCCCCAGTGTTCCCACTGTCCCCACTGTCCCACTGTCCCCACCGCTGTCCCACTGTGCTGTCCCACTGTCCCACCACTGTTCCACTTCCCGGCTGTCCCCACCACTCTCCCCACTGTACCACTGTCCCAATGTCCCACCACCGTCCTCACCACCGCCCTCACCACTGTCCTCACCACTACCGTCCCAACCACTGTCCCACTGTCCCCACCACTGTCCCCACCACTGTCCCACTGTCCCCTCGCCACTGTCCCCACCACCGTCGTCCCCACCACGGTCCCACTGTCCCAACCACCGTCGCACTGTCCCCACAATACTGTCCCCGCCACCACCGTCCCCAACGTCCCAGTGTCCCCACCACTGTCCCACTGTCCCGAGGAGCGGGAATCGTTCGCCGGCGGCGAGGAGGTGTGGGGGGTTCGAACCGGTAGTGACCCCCCCTTTTTCATGCTGGACTGGGGGGGAGGGGTGGTTACGAACTGGTAGTGACCCCCTTCAGTTTTCGAGGGGGGGGGGGACGGGTTGGGAACCCCCAGTGACCCCTTTGGGTTTCCGCCAGCAGCGGTACAACACGCTCTGTCTGATATGTATATATATATATAAATACATATATCTATATATATACACATACATATACATGTATATACATACATATATATATATACATACACATTTTTATATGAGCCAGTTACCAGAGGTCTTGGCACGCCTCTGGCCCCTTGGCTGGCCCTTTGGACCGGCGAGTTCTGGTCCGATGATGTCCTGGTCTTGGCCTGTACTTAGGTTGCACTGTGTGCCTGCGGTGCGTTTCGAGCCCCCTGCATGTTCAATCCGATCCCTTTAACTACGATCCGCTCTCGGCATTCATGCGCCGCGCACCAGTCCATTCGCGCCCGTTCGGATGCCCGTGCACCGAACAACCCCTCCACGAGCCAACATGGAAATATCTGCGATTGGTCCGTTTCGGAAATGCGTCTGGTTCGACGCCTTCCTATCGTGGATTCTTCAGGCTTACGCCACATCCGCCGACCCCTTATGAAGAATCGCGCAGTGGTCTGGTCGCCTCTTTGGGTGGTCTGAGGCCCCTGGGCCATTCTTGGGGCATTCTTGGGTTGTCTTGGGGCCCCTTAGGCCGTCCTGTGGCAGTATTGGGCTGTCTTGGGGCTCTCTTGGGCTGTCATCGGCCTCTCTTGGGCTGTCATGGGGCGCTCTGGGCGTTCTTTTCGGCCGTCTTGGCCGTCGCCATCTGTTGCCGAGGACTGTGGTATGCCCTTGGTGACCTCAGAACTGCTTTGCGGTGTCTTTTGGAACCGTCAGGGGCGGCCGTGGGGTGACCTTCAATCGTTTCAGGCCATGGTCAGAGACCCGCCGAAACGCCCTGCGGAAGCAAGTGACGAGCACGGCGGGAAGCGACGCAAGTTGCGAGGAATCTGACCGCGAGTCGCGCGCGCTGTCTTCGGGGCTCTCTTGGGCCGTCCTCGGCCCCTCTTGACCCGTCTTGGCGCCCTCTTGGGCTGTCGCGGGGCCCTCGTGGAGGCTTCTTGGACCGTCTTGGTGCGGTCTTGGGGGGCTCTGGGGCCGCCCAGCAGCGGGGAACACCCCAAAAGGCGCACGTGCGATAAGAAAATATACGCTTTACGAAGGGAACGGGCGTTTTTGTGCGTCTAGAGGCCCTCTTGTGGCGCATCGTGGATGCCTCTTGGGGCGTCTTGAGGGCCTCTGTAGCCGTCTGGAGGTCGTCGTCAGTGTTGTTGATCGCTCTTGGACCTTCGGGGACCATGTGGAGCTCTCTTCGAGGCCACTCGGGGCGCTCCTGGAGCGCTGTCGGGGCCGTTTTCGGAGCCCTTTTGGGCCGTCTTGGACGTTTGTTGGCCCGTCTTGGGGCCCTCTAGGGCTATATGGGGAACCCTCTTGGAGGCGTCTTGGGCCGTCTGGGAGCGGGTTTGGGGGGCTCTGGGGCCGTCCAGGAGCGGGGGGCACCCCAAAAGGCGCACGTGTGAAAACATACACGTTTTACAAAGGGAACGGGCGATTTTTTGCGTCTAGAGGGCCTCTTGGGGCAAATCTTGGATGCCTCTTGGGCCGTCTTGGGGGCCTGTTGAGCCGTCGGGAGGCCGTCGTCGATGTTTTTGATCGCTCTTGGACCGTCTGGGACCGTGTGGAGCTTTGTGGAGGCCACTCGGAACGCTCCTGGAGCGCTCTTGGGGCCGTTTTCGGAGCCTTCTTGGGCCTGTTGGCCCGTCTTGGGGCCCTCTAGGGGTATGTGGGGCGCCCTCTGCGAGGCTCCTGGGGCCGTCTGGGAGCGGGTTTGGGGGCCTCTTGGGCCGTCGGGGAGCATCGGAAATGGCCCAAAGCCGAATTTGTAAAAAAAATACTTTTCACTAAGGGAATGGGCCAATTTTGGCGTCTAGGGACCCTCGTGGAACGCATCTCGGAGGCCCTCGGGGGGGCTCGTGGGGGCCTCTTCTACCGTCGAGGACGCCTCGTGGCCCGTCTTTGGGCCACCTTGGGCGGCTTGGAGCGCTCGTTGGGCTTCCCAGAGCCATGTCGAGGCCACCAGAAGCGTCCCTGCACGATTTTCACGAGGTTTTGCACGATTTTCGGGAGCGGATGACCCCTCCGTTCCCGTCCGGGGGATCCGGCCCGACCCCCCCCCCCGTCTCCAAATCGACCGGGCCGGGCTCCCGGGACCCTCTGCGAGGCTCCTGGAGCCGTCTGGGAGCGGGTTTGGGGGCTTCTTGGGCCGTCGGGGAGCATCGGAAAGGCCCAAAGCCGAATTTGTGAAAAATGCACGTTTCACTAAGGGAATGGGCCAATTTTGGCGTCTAGGGACCCTCGTGGAACGCATCTCGGAGGCCCTCGGGGGGGCTCGTGGGGGCCTCTTCTGCCGTCGAGGGCGCCTCGTGGCCTGTCTTTGGGCCACCTTGGGCGGCTTGGAGCGCTCGTTGGGCGTCCCAGAGCCATGTCGAGGCCACCAGAGGCGTCCCTGCACGATTTTCACGAGGTTTTGCACGATTTTCGGGAGCGGATGACCCCTCCGTTCCCATCCGGGGGATCCGGCCCGACCCCCCCCCCCATTCAAATCGACCGGACCGGGCTCCCGGGGGAGGGGTTTGGGGGGGGGAACATCTCACACGCCGATGAACCCCAAGGGGTCGGCGGTTTTTTTGTGTATTTGACATCCTCGTTTGCATTATGATGTACACATCGTGAGGCCAGAGCTTGCCTTGTGCTTGGTAGTATTCCCCAACGCGTCCAGGAAAAGGCAAGATTCGCCAAGATGTTCGACAAAATGGCGAAGGCATCGGCGATTGAACCCCATCCCCTCCATCGTATCTTCCTCGCATGCTTTCTCCCCCGCCCACCGCCTTCCCCTCCTGATCTGGATCATTATCTCCCCCTTTCTCTCTTCGATCGTATCTTTCCCATGGTCGCATAAGCTTGCCTTGGAGCTGGTTCTAATTATTCCCCCCTGCGGGGGCAAGCCGAGCTGGGCGCAGCAAAAAGCCCCTCGTTGGGGCAAGCTGCGCTGGGCGCTGGCGCGTGGCCGATGTTGTGTTCGGCACGCAGACGCGCTTGCTGGACGTGGTCGATGTGGTTCGCATTTGTTTGAAGACGTGGGGCAGGCGGGTTCAACGCACTACAACGATTCGTTCTGCGATGCCGACCGACGTCTTGTTGGAAGTATTTCGTGCCGGCACGCTCCTGACCAGTCTGGTCCCTGGTCAGCCCAAACACGGAGGCTCAGCTGAGGCGTGCCCCGACGACGGCGCAGCTACTGTTGGTTGCTGTCCCTGTCTCTCCTCCGACTCTCTCTCAGAGTTGCGATTTTGACGTGCTGCTCTACTACATCGGATACCACTTCTCATCCTTTGGCGACATCGGGCGAGACCAGAGGGGGCAGGGGGGAGTGGGCCTGTAACGTCACGATTCGCGCTGGCGCCGTCTGGGAATCCTCAGGACTGGCTAGTTCACAAACGGCGCGGCGCGGGCGCAAATCATGACGTGACTTGGCAAAGGAGGGGGGTGGGCCAGTAACGGGCGTGATCGCGATCATTCAAAGCCGCTGTGGCGCGCCTATCGCTGAGTAGCGGGCCCTCGGTGCCCATCAGAGGAGAGGCGAGGTCGGCGCCGTTGCGACGCCTGGCCGCGCGGAGCAGTGGATCCAGGCTGCCGCGGCGTCCTGGCAGCGCGCGCGCGGGGGCCGCGATGTCCAGAGGCCTTGGATTGTAGGCCGGAGACGCAGCATCACCACCAACAGCGGGGCCGCCTCCAGCGAGGGGCCCCACGATGTCTCCCCGGGCTGGGCATGGGGTCGCACCATCAGGAAAACCCTCCCTGGCGCTCCGCGCCGGTGGTGGTGACTCCGCCCACACGACCGCGCCGGCCAGCGCCAGGCGGGGATCCTCGTGGAGGAGCGGCGAAATCGACGGCAGAAACTGCGGACGACTGCCGCCTTCTCCTCGTCCCCCTCCTCCTCCTCCTCCTCCTCCTCCTCCTCCTCCTCCTCCTCCTCCTCCTCCTCCTCCTCCTCCTCCTCTCCCTCCTCCCCCTCCCCCCCCCCTCCCCCTCCCCTCCCCCTCCCCTCCTCCTCCTCCTCCTCCTCCTCCTCCTCCTCCTCCTCCTCCTCCTCCTCCTCTTCCTCCGTAACCATTATGGTTCAAACCAGTTTGGCTCAAGTAACCACTTCCGCAAGGCAGCCGGCCTGGCCAGGAGAGTTTCGTTGGACCTCTGCCCGCAGCAGCCCCTTCCTGAAGGCTGCGGGCAGGGTCAGTGGATTGACACCATTTTCCCGTGCTGCCGTAACAGGGCAACGGCAAGAAAACGTTTTTATCTTCATCGGTGCCATGCCAGACAAGAAAGACAAGCGAGACGGCAAAGTCAAAACACTTGCGAAATCGGAGCGCACGCTGAGTCTATCGACGCCGAAACCTTCCCCGCCGCACGCGCCGCGCACCCCTGTGCAAGGTCGGTCCGGGCGTCGTCGTGTTCGTGGGAATCGTGATGGGACCTGGACGACAGCAGCCTGGAGCATGTGGACGGGCTGCGAGCTGCCGCTGCGGCGCCGGGCAGCCCAGGCGACCGCTCCAGGAGCTCGAATGGTGGCAGGACAGGTAATGATGCCGCTGCAGACGCTCTGGCAGCCCGTGCTTCCGTCCAGGCAGCGGAGTTTCTGTTCACGTTCCTGGTTCCACATGCACAGGCTGCTGCCCGTGGCGAGCATCATGGAACGGGTGGCGGAATGTCCCTTCCCACCTCCAACTGGCGGGACAACGGCAGGCAGTGCTCAGGCTTGGAGACCAGATGGAGGCGCTGTCGGGGTTGACCCGTCGATGCGACCTGCTGTTGTTCAGATCGCACGTTGCATTCAGGCGGAGGAGCTCAACACATTCAAGAAGTCTTGCATCGGGCTCACCACGAAGGCGGCGGCAAGGACCATTCAGGAGGTTCCCCCGCAGTCGACCACTCGTAGCGCGGATGGCCACTCGCTTCGATTCATTATTGTCCCATATGCAGGCCATAGAGAAGAAGGTCAGCCGCTTTTAAAGCAAGCAGGCGGACTTGCTGGCTAGGCTGGAGCGCCTCGAGAAGGTCTTCGATCAGGCTCGCGCTGAACCTCGTGCGCTCGTGGCGCGGGCGACGGATGAGGAGAGGCCCAAAGATCACAGCATCCTCGCGATCAATGCGAAGAAGGCTATCCCTGTCTCTGCGTTGGCCTCTTCGCTCTAGTCTTGGTTTGGGGGTCGCGGCTACGCGTTCGGTCTCGAATGCAGGCTGGGGGGGGGCCTCGGTTGTCGAAGAATGTCGTGCTGTGCTTCGGCGAAGATGAGACTCGCCTTGCTGCTGAGGCGCGGGCGCGCCACGCGCGCGCGGCCGTGCGACGGGCCCGGCAGTTAGAGGCGTTTTCGGGCGATTCTTCCTGGCGATCGGGCGGTTGAGATTTAACATCGATTTGGGCAAGAACACGGCGGGCGTTGCGAAAGGGAGGGCCCGCAAGCAGCTCAAGACGGCGAATTCGGACATGGGGGCGGACGCGCTCCGCGCGCAGCGGCAGCCCGTGGCGAAGGTCGAGGTGCGCCCCAGCGGCCCGCCCCGCGCCCGCTGGAATCGTGCTCGTCTGGCGGGCGTGGGATTGGATCGTGCTCGTCTGGCGTCTATTACCGATCGTGTGTTCTCCAGAACTTCTGTTCTGTGGAGTGGGCGACGCGTTGCAGGGATCTTCATCGGTCGCATTCGCTATGTGGAACTATCGGGCCCTGTGCAGCCACCGAGCAGACGGGCGCGCGCGGCGGACGCGCGTTGCAGGCGATCTTGCGCCCCCCCCCCCCCCCCGCCCCCTCTACCGCGGCGCTTGCCTCGCAAGGGGGCCCATGGAGGGATCCCCGCTGCGCGGGGGCGGCCCGGCAGAGGGCTTCAGAGCAGGCGGGGCAGCCGCTCTTGCCCCTCCTTCTTCCCTCGTCGCCCCTACCTCTGTGATCGAACTTCAGGGCGCGGGTGCATGCGGCCGCGCGCTGGCTATCTGAATCACGAATATGTCCTCGGGCTCCCGCTTCTGGGATGAGTCTCGAGGTTATCCGATGGCTCCGGGGCCGCGTCAAAGCACGCATTGAGGCGGCGCCCAGCGTGCCACTTAAATTCGGCCTGTTCCTGCAAGGCGACCTGAACACTTGCAATGGCGATAGGGGGGCGCGGTGCTGCTAGATGCACTGCGAGAGGGGGCCGCCCAGGAGATGGCGTTTGGCGCTCGATCTTCAGGGCGCTCGCGGTGCAAGCTGGCGACTCCCCCGCGCGCTGGCATCAAGGCGCCCGGTCCTGTTCTAAGGTCGACCGCTGCTTCCTTGCTTCTCCTTCGCGCCCCCCGCGCTGGGGATTTCAATCCGCGCGCGTTTGCGGGGGGCCTGAGGAGCTCCGCGAGGCAGGAGTTAGCGACCGCGCGCCAGCCAGCATCGCGCAGGCCCGCCGCCCCGCTCCGGCGGAGCCCGATGGGCGCCCCCGCCCCCCCCCCGCGCCACTGCGCTCGGGCCCCCGTCTACTGGGCGCCGGTCCAAGCCTATGGCGCGCAAGTCAAGTTCAAAATTGTAGAGCCCCCGGCAGATCGAGGCGGCTGCTCTGCGTCGGCGGCAGGCGGGAATGGCCGCGAGAGACTTCCCACTCTCGTTTTTTCCTCGCCCCCTTACCTCCCGCGCAATGGGCCGTCGCTCGGCCGCGCGGGCCATCGCTCGTCAGGGCGTTGGTCTGGCTCGCACGGTTCGGCTCAAACCCCCTTGGACTCGCGCGCGCATCCGCTGGTCTCGGACGAGGGGGTCTCGTGGATCGACCCTGTGAAATTTAATGGCCCGCGCGCCAGCCTGCAGTAGCGAGAAACCGCCGAGCTCCGTGAGCTGCTGGAACGCGAAGCCGAGGCGGAAGCAATATGTCCTGGCCGTCGAGCGCGCGGCTTCGGTGGGAAGCAGGCGGCCGGTCGCAGGGCGCATCTGTGGAATCCCTGTCGGCGTCGTTCCCCAATCAGTTATTGCGCTGGAGGGGCCCTAGCGGAAGTTGACGGATTTGGCGAAAGGTCCCCGCCGATTTTGGTGGCAGGCTGGGTTCCCGGATTCCCGGCCACGGGTTCCCAGGTTCCCGGTTCCGGGTTTCGAGCCGATTTCGGAGGGTGGCGAGGTTCCCGGATTCCCGGGTTCTTGGTCGATCATCGTATCAATCGGTCCCACCATCGATTTTATTACCGACTTCTGGATCGATCTTACCATCGATCTCGCAATCGATCTCACTATCAATCTCACAAGCGATCTCACTAGAGATCATGAGTGGTCTCGCGATCGATCTCATTATCGATCTCATTGAATCGATATCACTCTCGGTCTCACGATCGACCTTACAATCGTCCGCGCTATCGACTCCACTATCTATCTCATTACCGATCTCACAACCGATCTCAATATCCATGGTATCAATTTTCAAATCATCCACTGATTGGGGTTCTCTCAGGTGCAATAAGGTTCTAGCATCGGCCGCGGCGACGTTGGCTTCGCTGGCCCCCCCGGGAGCGAGCGTCCAACCTGCTCGGGGCAGGCTGCGTCGGTTAAGTCTCTCGCCATGCACTGGGGCCTGTCTTCAAGGCGTCCAGTCCCGTTCCTCTTTGGGGGGGGGGCGGTGCCTTGAGCGTCGGGGCCGCGGGGGAGGGTCTGGATTTCTCGTCGCCCCCGCCGCCGGCGCGGCGTTCCCTTGAGAAATTTGCGCTGCGGGCTCGAAGTTGTGCGCGTGGGCCAGGTGCGCTCCATTTTTGAACCTGGAGGCGTGGCC